GGAAAAGGGGTGGGCTAAGACGAAGGAGAGAGGTGTAGCTCTATTGAACATTTGGTATAAAATGTCCCCAGGTGTAGGTGGTGAATGATAACTATAAATAATAATGATTTTAAAACACTTTAAAGTATTTTCTGGGTTACAGAGCATTTGGGGAATTGTTGCAGAAGACCAGAGAAAAACCAAGCACTGCTTTAGAGAAAAGGTACACTGTTTATTATGCTGGCGGGCTCAGCAGAATAACTTCCCAAGTCTGAGCAAAGTAACATGCAGGGAGCTTCTCTTTTATATCTTTCTGGTGTCTTTGTCCCTCAAATATGGATTATGCTTCTGGTCCTTTTCGTGGGCTTTGCAAAAAAGGCCCCAGGTGTTGGGGGTCTCCAGGCCATATCTAGTGGTCTGGCCTGGCGCCAGCACTAATAACCCCCCCTCCGGGGCTGTGCACTGTTCATAGTTTATGGCCTCTGTGAAATGTGAGCATTTAGGTAACAGGTTCTGCTAGACCAGTTTCTGGGAAAGAGGCAGTGCTTAATTATAGGTTATCAAGCATGTACACTGGGCTTTCTGGCACAGATTCAGATTGCTAGCCCCCCAAATATCAGGGTTACATTGAAATTAGCCTTTTTAGACTTCTCAAAATAATTTGGGGAGCACTGAAGGCGATTCCCTAGCTTCCTCAAACTATTCTGTCTGGAACCCCCATCAGTGTCAGCATTCCCGACAAACTGGCACCATGGCAAGTCAAGGTCTCCAATGTGAGCTGGACCCTGGATGAGGCCAGTGAGCTCCGCCTCCCGAGGCAGCTCCCATTCTCCACAGGGACCGTTTCAGAATCTTCTAAAGATTTAAACCTTCACCAGATGCGAGCTCCCTTCACTTTCTGCCACCAAACCCTCCCATTCATTCTCTGCTTCTCACAGGCCAATTCCTCCTCCAGGGAGGGGCTGCCCTCCCCTCTGAGACCCCCCCTCTGAGCTGCATTCCATCTGGTCTTCTCACAACCTGGGCGTTTGGGGTTTCTTCTCTCATATATTCAGCCTTTCCTTCTCTAATGGCTCCTTCCCATCAGCCTTTAAACACATCACTCATCTCTGCACTGCAGTCTCTGCACTGCTGGCCTGGCATCACCACCTCTTCCTATGGGCCAGCACCTGGGAGCAGGCGCCCCTAGCATTCCCACCGTGCTGAGGGGGCCCAGCCCAGCACTTGGGGCACCCAGCGAGGATGAAACAATCCAAGTTCTAGCCAAGGTGAGATGCAAGGCGGCCCAGCTGGGCACCAGCAAGCTCCATACTTGGTGGCCAGCTGGGGCCTGGCAGGAGAGCGGTGTGGGAGGTGGGGAAGGGGCAGAAGAGTGCTCACACGCCAGGCCAGGCGCCAGGCGGGATTCACAAACATTGAAAGCCAATACCAAGAGGCCACAGCGCTCTGAGCAAGAGGCACCCTGGGAAGAACTGGTGCTCTTACTGTTGGGGAGTGAAGGAGAGAAGGGGTGGGGGGAGAAGGGGGGGCTTCCTCCAGCCCTGCTTCAGCTGGGGAGAGCCCCTTCAAGACCCGGGTACTCCAGCCATTTCCAGAGTGAGAGCTTGCCTGGCACACCCCTGGGAAGGGTGAGGGCCAACCCATATCAGGCAATGCCCCTTCCCTGCCTCTGGCCTCCTGGGTCTTCGAATTTGAGTGGGTTTGACCTCAAAGTTCCCACCAGTAGAACCAAGATGGCGGCATAGGTTAATGCCGGAGTTTGCTGCCTCGAACAACCATTTCAAAAATACAACTAAAAGATGGAACGGACATCATCCAGAACCACAGGAAGGCTGGCTGAGTGAAAGTTCTACAACTAGGAGGAAAGAGGAAACCACACGAGACTCAGAGGAGGCGCAGTGCTGAAGTGAAATACTAAGGTGCGGAGTGCATGTGGAGCGGGCCGGCGGCGGAGGGCGCAGTTGTTGTTTTCAATCGGGAGGGAGTTTCAGACTCTGAGCTCCAGATCCGGGCGAGTCTCTAGGGACCCAGACTCAAACAGGAGAAGCGGGAAGGCAGCTTTCTCTCCGAGGTTTGCAGTGGTTGCAGAGCCGCTGGGGACAGAACCGAGAGCAGCCATAACTGCTCACTCTACCCGCCCTGTTGATCCCCTGGGACCCGCCCCGCCCAAGCCCTGCACAGAGGCGTTTGTGGGATTGCCTTAGGCAAATGCTAGATTAGCACCGCCCTAGAGATCCAGCACAGAAGCTCTCCCACTGAAGACACAGCTGACTCTCATAGCCAGTTAGCCTGGAGGTCAATTCACCCCCAGTATTGCCGACAACAATCAAGGCTTAACTACAACAAGACTGCGCACAAAGATCACAAGGGGGTGCACCAAGAAAGCATAAAAAATGCGGAGACAAAGAAACATGACAGACATGGAGGATATAGAGCTAAAAAACGCACTTTTAAGGTCTTTCAATAATTTGCTAGAAACTGCCGATAAACTTGATGAGAGCCTCAAGAAATCTAATGAGACCCTCGATGTTGTGATAAAGAACCAACTAGAAATTAAGCATACACTGACTGAAATAAAGAATATTATACAAACACCCAACAGCAGACCAGAGGAGCACAAGAATCAAGTCAAAGATTTGAAATGGGAAGAAGCAAAAAACACCCAACCAGAAAAGCAAAATGAAAAAAGAATCCGAAAATATGAAGATAGTGTAAGGAGCCTCTGGGACAGCTTCAAGCGTACCAACATCAGAATTATAGGGGTGCCAGAAGATGAGAGACAGCAAGATATTGAGAACCTATTTGAAGAAATAATGACAGAAAACTTCCCCCACCTGGTGAAAGAAATGGACTTACAGGTCCAAGAAGCGCAGAGAACCCCAAACAAAAGGAATCCAAAGAGGACCACACCAAGACACATCATAATTAAAATGCCAAGAGCAAAAGACAAAGAGAGAATCTTAAAAGCAGCAAGAGAAAGAAAGCCAATTACCTACAAGGGAATACCCATACGACTGTCAGCTGATTTCTCAACAGAAACTTTGCTGGCCAGAAGGGAATGGCAAGAAATATTCAAAGTGATGAATACCAAGAACCTACAACCAAGATTACTTTATCCAGCAAAGCTATCATTCAGAATTGAAGGTCAGATAAAGAGCTTCACAGATAAGGAAAAGCTAAAGGAGTTCATCACCACCAAACCAGTATTATATGAAATGCTGAAAGGTATCCTTTAAGAAGAGGAAGAAGAAGAAAAAGGTAAAGATACAAATTATGAACAACAAACATGCATCTATCAACAAATGAATCTAAGAATCAAGTGAATAAATAACCTGATGTACAGAATGAACTGGTGATTATAATAGAATCAGGGACATAGAGAGGGAATGGACTGACTATTCTTGGGGGGGAAAGGGGTGTGGGAGATGCGGGAAGAGACTGGACAAAAATCGTGCACCTATGGATGAGGACAGTGGGTGGGGAGTGAAGGCGGAGGGTGGGGCGGGACTGAGAGGAAGGGAGTTATGGGGGGGAAAAAGAGGAACAAATGTAATAATCTGAACAATAAAGATTTAATTTAAAAAAAAACAAAAAAATAAAGTTATATATAAATTGGAAAAAAAAAAAGTTCCCACCAGTTTCACTGATTTGAAAACTGAAGTCCCACCTCTCTTACTGTTGAAGAAGGAGGGGCTGAGGCCAGCAGGCACCCTCTGCTTAAGGGGCAGAGAGGCTGAGCAAGAGGGGGGCCAGGTAGTCACCGTCCCCGCCTGGAGATGGCACGCGCTGGCATGAGATGGTACGGAGGTTGGCATGGTTCCATGAGGGGCCACAGAGCCTGAGGGGACCAGGCCCAGGGAGAGGGAGGGCGCCGCACAGGGAGCAGCCTGGCCAGGAACTGCATCACCCCCACTTGGTTCCCACCCCTTGTCTCCCAGCAAGAGTCTGAGCAGCTGATGGTCAAGGACAAATGATAATGAGGAGGAAGCAGGCCCCCTTCTCTGGGGACAGTCACATCATAAGCCAAGCTCACGGCAGCTCAGTCAACAAGGGAGTGCCCCCCCCCCCCGCGCCCCCGCCCCTCAGACTGGAGATAGGAGGGAAGGAGATGTGTTACTGGGCAGCCACCAGAGCTAGGAGGCCCAAAGACCAATTTGTAACAAACAGGAAGGGGTCCTCAGGCAACCAATGGGCTTATCGGGGTGACCAGGGAGCTCTAAACACACTCTTCGCCTCCCCTCCCACCCCAGGTTCAAGCTCACCACAGCCAGGACCCAGCGGAACCCAGGAAGCTGGGCCAGCAGCCAGCCAGGTGAGAGCCTCAGCAGGCCTGTGAGCAGCCTCAAGGTGGGGGGCCGAGTCCAGGCAGCCTCAGGCCCCGGGAGAAGGAGGGGACGTGTGTGTAAGCCGTGTGTGTGGTGTTTGGGAGTGTAAATGTGTGTGCATGTGACTGTGTGTCAGACTGTGAGCACGCGGGCAGTGTCTGTGAAGTGTTTTGTGTGTGACTCTGTGTTGAGTGTTCTAGTGTGAAGGGAAGGGGCACCGAGAGCTTCATTGCCCACGCGGTCCCGTGACCTCCCTATAGCGCTGGGCAAAGGTCAGCAACAAACCTGGGAGGGGAAGGCCGCTCAGGAGGAGGCAGGCGATGGCGGGAGACAGGGACATGTTCGGGGACGAGACTGCGACCAGGTTAGGTGTGAGCCTGAGAGACAGGACGCAGGGTAAAGCCTGGAAAGCCCTGGTTGTTCCTCGGAGCCCAGACAGAGCTGGGGAGTGAGGTGAGGGTGGACTTCTTCCCCCCACCCCCACCCCCACCCCGGGAAAGCACCTAGAGAGGACAGGAGGGGCAGGATTCTCCAGCCACCCCTGCACCTGATCTTGCCCAACCTCTCCTGGACCCTCTGACATTGGTAACTCCCAGACAGGTTGGCTCAGGGCAGAGGGCAGGGCCAGCCTCGGCTCCGTTTATAAGGAGAGCCCAGGCTGGCCCCGCACACAGGGCGTCGTGAGGGCGCTGTGCCTGTCCTGTCCTAGGTGCCTGTGTGGTGAGGGTGCCAGTGTGCCCAGAGGAGCCCTGAGGACACTGAGACAGCCATGGGGCTGCTGACCGGGGAGGTGCTGTGGCCCCTGGCTGTGGCCACGGCCGTCTTCCTGCTCCTGGTGGACCTGATGCACCGGCGTGTGCACTGGGCTGCGCACTACCCGCCAGGCCCCAGGCCGCTGCCAGGGCTGGGCAACCTGCTGCACCTGGACTTCCAGGACATGCTGCGTTCCGTTAACCAGGTGAGGAAGGCAGGGGTGGGCAGCAGAGGCCATGGGGGACCCTCCTCGCAGCAGGCAGGGGTGGGGGTGAGCAGCAGGGGCCATGGGGAACCCTCCTCCCAGCAGGCAGGGGTGGGCATGAACCACAGGCTGGACAAGGAGCTGAGCTGAGAAGAGGGGGCGGGTTAGAGAGGCTCCCTGAGGAGGTCATGCCTGCAGAGCCCAGAGACAGTTGGGATTTTCCAAAGGTCTGAGAGGGAAAAGGTTGCAGAGGACGTGGGACTTGGCAGTGGGTTTGGGTTCTGCTTAGACAGTGTTGAAAGTAGGTGAGCCTGAGTCCCGTCTGCTTAAATATATTTTTATTGATTTCAGAGAGGAAGGGAGAGGGAGAGCGGGATGGAAACATAAACGATGAAAGAGAATCATTGATTCGCTGCCTTCTGCATGGTGGTGGAACCCACAACCCAGGCAGATGACCTGACCCATAATCTAACCATAAGCTCCTGGATCATAGGTCCACGCTCAACCACTGAGCCGCTGGTCAGGCACGAGCCCCTTCTGTTTAGCTCAGGGGGAAAGGTCTGGAGATGGGGGAGGGGAGTCTGGCCAGGAGCCCCATTTCAATCAGGAAGTCAGGTGGAGGGAGCAGAGAATGGGCTCAAGTCTGCTCTGTGGGTCCTTGGGCCTCACTCTCACCTGTATGGCCTTAGCTTCTGCCCCTGAGAGACAGCATGCTCACGTGGCCTATTGACAATATTGGTGACATTTGCAAACTCAGAGATGCCAGATGTGAGGTCCTTGATCATAGAGAAGTGACCTCATGGCCCCAAGGCCAGATAAGTCCTTGCATCGCTCCCTGCTGACCGCCCAGGTGTCCTGCAAGGTCTGGGCCCTGAGAGCAGGCCAACTTACCCAACACCCTCCGCCCGCAGCTGCGGAGCCGCTTTGGGGACGTGTTCAGCCTGCAGCTGGCCTGGACGCCCGTGGTCGTGGTCAACGGGCTGGCGGCCGTGCGCGAGGCGTTGGTGCACCGCAGCGAGGACACCGCCGACCGCCCACCCTCGCCCACCTTCGAGCATCTGGGTTTCGGGCCGCGCGCGCAAGGCAAGCGGAGGACCGGGCCGACCGCGGCCCAGCGGGCACGGGGCCCGCACACACCCGGCAGCCCACGGGGAGGAGGGCGGTGGACGCGCTGTGCTCTCGGCCAATAGGAAGGGGGGGCAGGTGGAGGGGGAGCCTGTGCCCGGGGTGGGAGGGGGTGGGCGAGGCCTCAGGGGGACAGGGCGGGCCAGGCCGCTGGGAACAGCACTGGGAAGAGGGGCGGGAAGGAGAGAAACCGAACCGGCGAGGGCGGGGCGAGGGCGGGCAGGACCTGCCACGAGAGGGAGGGAGCTGGCGAGCAGCGTGGGCGGACAGAGGGGGCCGGTCTCCAGCCGGAAGCGGGTGTCAAAGTTGGGCGAATGGGTGGGGAGAACTCCTGTGGGCGGAGCAAAGGCGGGGTCTGCACCGTCGGGGGCGGGGCTGGTGGGCGGGGCCGGGCCGGGACCCGCTGCGGGTGGAGGAGGGAGAGCCCGCGAGCCACGTGTGCGGCAGGGGCGGGGCCAGCGCCCGCCTAGCCGCGCCCACTCCCCGCTCCCAGGAGT